TCTATTATACTTTTCACAAAATGTACAATCTCTATTTGAAACATTCACGTCCGTCACCCCTGTAGATGGAACTTATCAGATAGTTGGCGGTCTGTCTGTGGTGTATGCTGACTACTGGTCCACTTCCAGGGTTACTAGCAATACATACTTCGATATTGTGTTTGGAGCTACAAATATATTGTTATCTTGCTGTTATTTCATAAGTATATCAACTGAACTTTAGTTGGTCCATCACATTTTTGCATCTTGGTACAAAACAATTTAACATCTTAACCTGCTCATGAAAAAAGAATTGAACTAACTTTTTACAATGAGTAAAATTTTACAGAAGAATGAACATTAATATATGCCTACAGCAAAATATCCATTTACTGTCCATAAACGAATACATGTATTGGGAAAGTTTTAAATGATTGAAAACCTTTAGATACATTACACAGCAGGGAAACATTCTTGTGGTGAGGTTCAATGGACTCATAATTAGACATAACATAAGTTAAATTTTCTTTTCTTTTCCTAGTTCCTTGTTCTGTTGTCCCGTGTGCGTGGCTTGGTAAGGCTCCCTGGTCTTTGTCTTTGTCTTCTGGTCATAGCCTCAACAGGCTCAGTCTACAGCTTGAACCACTGAAACAAATGATAAAGCAAGACATTTCATTGAACCACTGAAACACGCGATAAAACAAGAAATGTCACTGCATCACTGAAACACGCGATAAAACAAGAAATGTCACTGCATCACTGAAACACGCGATAAAACAAGACATTTCATTGGACCACTGAAACATGTGATAAAACAAGAAATGTCACTGCATCACTGAAACATGTGATAAAACACCACTGAAACATGTGATAAAAGAAGGCATTTAATTGGGCTACGATAATGTGTGATAAAAAAAGCTATAAATTGGACTACAAAAATATGTGATAAAGGAAGGCTTTTAAGTGGACCACTGAAACCCCTGATTTAAAAAAGGCATTTCAATGGACCGCTGAAACACGTCATAAAAGAAGACATTTCAATGGACCGCTGAAACACGTCATAAAAGAAGACATTTCATTGGACAACGTGACCAAAGAAGGTATTTAATTGGACCACTGCTTTACGTGATAAAAGAAGGCATTCTATCCTTTTGTAAAAAATAATATCAAATTCGGAAGAACCATATCAAAATTAACAAATTGTCTCGCTTTTTTAGTTTTAGTAGAGGTTTTATGGCGCTCGCAACAGCATAAGGTCATATGAGCGCTAGAAGATTAGAAGTGCTACAAGAGAGTAACAAACATAAAAAAGAAGAAGGGAAGATAAGGTCGATATATGTTTGATAGGAAAGAAGAAGCAAACCACACCAGAGCACCCGTCAACCACCCACATTGTCTCGCTGGTAACTCTTTTTCTCGCTGGATTTGAAAAAAAAACCCTAAAAAAAGAAGGGTTAAAAAACAAACAGACAAGATTGCTGTATGTAGTTATTTCTAATCACAAAGAGGTCGGACAACGGTCAGATTTGACTGACCCTGTGGTACCCCTATTATGTAAGAAGGGAGACAACTCACGTCTGGGAATGTTGACTTTGTTGGAGACGAGGACGTCGGCCTGCACGTGGCTCATGTTGAGATAGAGTGTCTCCGGGTTAGACTGAAACAGAAGTCAGAGGTCATTAGACTGAGAACACAGGTTCTGTTGAGCATGTAGACTTTCGAAAAGAATCACTTAACCCTATCCGTACGCCCTGGGGTCATTTCGCAATCTAGAATACTTCTAGTACGAAGACCTCTTTGAAACTTTCAGTATTTCTTTTTTAAAAAAACATTTTGACAGACAGCTATGCAAAGCGTACGGATCGGATTAACGAGTAAATTTCCTCTTTGGAAAGTGGTGGCACAGAGTTCCCCACGGATTCTATAGTAAAACACGACGTACAGATAGGGTTAAAACACATTATCATTACACAGAGTTTAGTATTAGTTTTGGTAAGAGTTTTACGGCAATTGCTACACAATCAGGTCGTGCAAGTGTCTAAGATTAGAGGTGTTACAAGAGAGTATAAAAGGAGAAGAGATAAAGACGATAGATGAAGAGATAAAGACGATAGATGTTTGGTAGGAAGGAAGAAGAAGAGTGCACAAAATCACCCGCCATGCAACCGCCCACACAACCTCAAGATGGATAGACTTGAATCTATGATGATGAAGATGATGAAGATGATGAAGATGATGATGATGATGATGATGATGATGATGATGATGATGATGATGATGATGATTCCAACTTTTGAGAGGCATATTGACAGGTGTTTCAACTTTCAGTTGTGTTGACTGAGACAGAATCAAATACCGTATGTCATGACACGGCCGAATCAAGTCTAAGAGCTTGTTTAGTCGTCCTGCTTTTAATGAAAAAGTACCCGTCTATCTTGAATAAAAGTTAAGATATTTGTGATTGAAAGAGGTAGGTGTAGCCAGGTGTCAAATGCAAAGGGTAGCGAGAAAATGGCCTCTAAAGTTTGGTGTGATTTCCAAAGCTTGAGTGTCTTTGTTGTTGTGTCCTTAGATCGTATGTGCCCGTCATATACACGTTAGCTGTACAACAACAACAACAACAACAACAACAACAACGACAACGACAGCGACGACGACGACAACAAAACAACAGCAACAATAACAACAACTAAAAACATTAGCAACAAAAACAAAAAAACAACAATATCACCACCACTACAACAACAAAAACAGCATCAATGACAACAACACCACCACCACCAAAAATAACAACAGCAACTACAACAACTACAACAACAACAACAAAAGGGAAAGATAAGAAGTTACCATGAACAGATCGTACAGAGCCTCCCCCATGGCATCCCTCACATGGTCGTCCACGATGGAAAATGTTCGGCAGAAGTGCTGGGGAGGGAACAGAGAAGAATGTTTTCACAATCACCTGACAGGATACATGTGTTATTACCGTCACCGTCATCTATAATTGTAGAGTGTCAAAATTGTAACAATCCCTTGGCAATATATCGTCACCCGGAAAATTTTATTCTGTAACATTAATTTCTCCTTTGATTTCCTTTCCTGCTCTCTTACCAGGTCCTGTTGTCTGTTTTCGTCTTCACTTTCTGCCCCAACCCCCACCCCCTTTGCCCCCCCCCCCTCTGAGCTCGTGACTGTTTCTGAAGTCTTTCAACTGCTAATCCTTGGTCCTTCTTACGGCTGTCTTTCAGCTACACCCCTGATCTTAGGGTAGGCAAGATCAAACACATAGCCTTCTCAGAAATGGGTGAAAAAATCTCGGAGATTCCGTGTACAAGTTGCGTACGTTAAAGATATCTTGGTGGTCCTAAAATCGACAAGCGTAGGCTTCGGCAGCCACCCAGGCAAAATTCAAAATAAATTCCTGTCAAACTAAAAATGTGTAATGTGTCCCCTGCGGTCATAGTCATATGACTTTATCATACTTTATGCAGCTGTCATCAACGTAAAACGCTTACATAAAAAAAGGAAAAAACACTCTTCATTGCTGAGACGACTCCATCTACGTATGAGCAACCAAGATAAAAAGTTCATTCAAGAGAGATTTAAACAAAGCCGTAACATTTCTTTCCGCTTATTTAGAAATACACGTACAGTCGAAATCACATCTCCTTATAATTCCCCAGTGAACCAGTAGACAAAATGGTAGAGACCCAGTTTTGGAGAACGCATTAGTATAAAATATACTGCCACTTTAGAATTATAAAGTTCCATCTAACATTCTAGGCTGTTTTGAGCTACTAAGACCATGGGGTCAGAAAACAAGTTAATGTCCCATTTGCTCTATCAAAATCAAAAGGAAAATTCAGAGCCCTTATTAAGCTATTCAAAGAGATGCATTTAAAAAAGCTTGACATGTTGTGAAGCTAAACATTTTTACGTCAAATTTCTCGAAACAAGGTGCTGAGCCCTATGTAATTCTAGGGTAGCGATACATCTACCCGGCAGTGAAGAGTAAAAACACAAACAGATTTGGACAAATTATGTACTTGTATTGAGATGGTTTGTTTGTTTGTTTGTTTTTTGTTTATTGAGTTTTGTTTGTTTGTTGTTGTTGTTTTTTGCTTATTCTGAAAACCTTCTATTTAATTAAATATACGGCAATGATGAATAACGACGTCGATATAATTTGCACCGTAAATAGGCCCCAAAACAATGAATGAAATTAGATGTATGTGTACGTTTGCATCTCTCTCTCTCTCTCTCTCTCTCTCTCTCTCTCTCTCTCTCTCTCTCTCTCTCTCTCTCTCTCTCTCTCTCTCTCTCTCTCTCTCTCTCTCTCTCTCTGTTTGTGTGTGTGTGTGTGTCTCTCTCTCTCATTCTTTCTCTCTCTCTTTCTTTCTCTGTCTCTCTCGCTCGCTCTGTCTGCCTGCTTGTCTGCCTGTCTGCCTGTCTGTCTGTCTGTCTGTCTGTCTGTCTGTCTGTCTGTCTGTCTGTCTGTCTGTCTGTCTGTCTGTCTGTCCACCCTCTTTTTGGCTATGTCCTCACTCTCTTTCTCTATACCCTCTCTTTCTCTCCCTGTGTGTGTGTGTGTGTGTGTGTGTGTGTGTGTGTGTGTGTGTGTGTGTGTGTGTGTGTGTGTGTTTTATGTTCGTTCGTGCTTACTTTTACTTGAATGCGTGCACGTTTAAGCATTTATCTTTTTTTGGGGGGTGGGGGCGGGAGGGGGTGATGTGATGTTTTGACAAAGAGACAATTGTGAATAACAATGAAGAGATAACTGTGAATAACTAAGAAGAGACAATCGTGAAAAATATGTAAAAGAAACGACTGTGAATAAAGAAATGATTGGGAATAATTATGAAGAGACGACTGTGGAAAAACTATGAAGAGACAACTGTGAAAAAGATGGAAAAGAGACGATTGTGAATAACTGTTGTTGGTTTTTTGGGGTTCTTTTTGTTTTTGTTTTTTAAATAAGTGTTTTAGGGAGCTCGCAACTGCATAAGGTCATAGGAGCGTGCGGGACACATTAGACATTTTCAGTCGGTAGGAAATTTTGAATTTTGTCCGAGTGGCGGCCGAAGCCTACTCTTATCGATTTTAGACCACCAAGGGATCTTTAACGTGCGCAACTTGCACACGCGACCACCGAGATTTTTTGCCCTTGTCCGATAAGGTTAGGAGTAGATCTTTCCTACCAGAAGATCAGGGGTGTGGCAGAAAGACAGCAGTAAGAAAGAGCCAAAGAGTGTAGAAGTAGAAAGGCTGCAGAAAGAGTCGGGAGCCCAGAGGAGGGGGCAAAGGAGGTGAATGGGTGGGGGCAGAAAGTGGAGACGAAAGCAGACGACAGAAAACTGCTGGAGAGCAGGAAAGGAAGTGATAGGAGACAATTTTAGAGAAGAAAACTTTTCCATCGCTACTGGGATTCGAACCCGGGACCTTTGAATGAGAGTCGAACACCTTAAACTCTAGGCCACGAGAGCCTCTCTGAATAACTGAGAAGAAAGAAATATGTGTGTGCCTGAAGAAAGGTACCAAAGTCGGATGTTGACCACTTTGAGTTAAGGATTGTACCTAATAGGAAATTCAATGGTGAATACAGGGGTCTTTGAATTTATAAAAAATATTATTTGTTTTTATAATAATCTACCCTCAAAATAATTAAAAATAAAATAAACTCGCACAAAAAAGTCAAGGAACAACTTGTGTTTTCACCTGTCAAATTTAAACTTCAATATCTCGCAAACCCGTTCAGCTCAGTCAACCAAACTTGGCACACGCACTGACAACTAGACACAGTTTGTCTGTACAGCAAATTTGCCCACACGAGCTTCACAGCAACGGCACAGGGCATGCTGAAACATGGCCGAAAAGCATGAAAAATGGGCTGGATTTCTCTGACTCAGCAACATTGGCATAGAGACTGGTGGCTAAAACTAAGCTTAGCACGTGCTAAACAGATGTCTTAGCTGTGAATATCATTCATTTGCACCCCTTTATAAGCCAGCGTTTTTCGACCAAGTTTCATTACAACAAGATGGTCCAACGATGCTCGCTGCCTGATGTCGACAGAGGACGAGCCCTCTCCTGGCTCCAAGACGGTTCCACGTTCCGGGTCGTTGCACGTCGGCTTGAGGTGTCCCCATCAGTCATGTGGAGGCTGCAAGAACGATGGCGAGCGACCGGAAGGGCAAAGGACAGGCTCCAACCAGGGCGGCCCCGTTTGGCCAACGACAGGATCGACCGGCTCATTGTCAGACAGGTCGCGACGTCATCAACCACCACAGCAAACCCATCAGTGGCCAACAACGGGGGATAGCCAATGTCCACAAGAGCGAGGAGACGATGAGGATTCGTCTCCGTTGAGCCAGGTCGCTTCTCGTGTCCCTGCCAGGCGCCCACGGCACACACTGCCCCACAAAGCAGCTCGACGGGCGTGGTGTGCTCGCCATTCACAGTGGACACGACGTCCGTGGGACCAGGTAGTCTTCTAGAACGAATCCAGATTCAACCCTCTGCGCCTAGAGAGACGAACCCACGACTGGAGAGCGGTTCCACTCTGACTGCATCCAGCAGGAGCGCCCTACGGTGGAGGGTCCGTTCTGGTGCGGAGATGCTTCTCTGATCACCCCAGGACCCCACAATAGCATATACAGGGCAATTTGATCGCGAAAGATAAAAGAACGAAATCCTGCGCCCCCTTGCTCTTCCTCTCCTGCAAACGATTGGACCATTTGGGATCACTCTGACCTGCAGATACGGGAAAACCACCCTCTTGCACAAAACCTTTAACAACTCTTGGGATACCTCGTCCAGGAGTGGCAGAACCTACCGCAACAAGTTCTCTGAAGGCATTTCCTGTCCATGTGTCGATGCTGTACCGAGTGTGCGGTTAAACGGGGTAGCTACACCCACTATTGGCAATGTTCGTGGAGAACTATGGGTGTTCAGTCTTTTGAAATCCGACCAGTGTGATTTAAACTCATTTTACGTGAATTTCTCTTTGTAGTTGAAATCTGAAATTGTACACATTTAATCTACAGAATCGAAAGCATCTTTTAGGAAAAAATGAACAAATTCGGTTCAACTGTAATCTTTCTTTGAATTTTTGTTCCTTGACTTTTTTGTGCGAATTTATTTTGAAGTCAAAACAATGAAACCATTTGAGCACATTGTAAAATAATGGTGGATCTATCAATTTTTATGCAAACACATATGGGTAAAAAAAAGGTGATTTTTTTGTAGCTCGAAACGGTCAGTGGCAATTTTTGGTACCTTTCTCCAGGCGCACACATGTGAATAATTATGAAGAGACGACTGTGAATAACTATGAAGAAACAATAGTGACAAGATGGGGAAAAGACAATTGTGAATAACTAGGAAGAAACAATAATGACTGTGGGAAAAATGGTGAAGAGACAATAATTGTGAATGAGCTCTATGGTGTTGTGAACTGACCTCGAGAGTGATGCTGGCCTGTCGCTGACTGTCGGCGTAGTCTGTGTTCCCCATGGCGTACATCAGATGGTGGGTCACTCGCAGCTGGGGAACAAGCAGGAAGTTCTAGTTTTACTCACAGTTTTACGGCACTTACAACACAAATAGGTCACCATATGTGAGGCAGCGTGGTGGAATCAGGCTCTCGTCAATTTTTGGGCATGTAGAATTATTGGTATCATCTTAAAGCTTGTTTACTTGTCCTTATTTGGATGAGAAAAATATCCTTTTATCTTGAATACAAGTAGAGATATTTGCGAAAGAAGGAGGTGGGGGGGTCACCTGTTTTCAGAGGTAAAATTAGTGAGAAAATGGCCGCCAAAGATTAGTTATTTCCTTAGCTTAAGAGGGCATGAAAGGTGTTGAGACAAAAAACAAAAATTTGATAAAAATTCACAAACCTGCGGAAGAATGCAAGTCTCTTCACTTTGATTATTTTGACGAGAGCCTGATTCCACCACGCTGCCTCAAGTTTAACTTTTCAGTTTTAGTTAGAGTTTTTATGGCACTTCCAACACAAATAGTTCACCACATAACCTTTGAGTTTTATTAAGAGTTTTATGTGCAACACAAATAGGACGTAAAAGTTGGTTGGGTCTTTTTGGTTTGTTTGTTTGGGGGTTTTTTTAGTTTCGTCGAGAATCTACAGCACTTGCAACAAAAACAATTCATATAAGTACAAAAATTAAAGGTTTTACTAGAGAGTACTAAACAAAGTAAAAAAGGGAGAAGAAACAAGGCCGACAGATGTTTGATAGGCAAGATGGAGCAAACCACACCAGAGCACCTACCAACCACCCATACAAAGAAAAAGGAAAAGAAGGGTTTATTTTAGTTTTAGTAAGAGTTTTACGGCACTTGCAACACAATACGGTCATATAAGTGCCAAAGATTAGAGGTGTTACAAGAGAGTAATAAACACAAAAACGAAGGAGGGGAGATAAAGACGATAGACGTTTGACAGGAAAGAAGAAGCAAACCACACCAAAGCAACCGCCAACCACCCACAAAGAAGGGTTTTGAGCGATTTATAGAAAATTGAGTGGACTGGGATAAGAGAAAAGATGAAGAGGGGGGCATGTTGTATTTGCGTTTGTCAGTGCGCGTGGGTGTTTTTGTTTGTTTGTGTGAGTGTATTTAAGTGTGTGTTGCGCCAGCGCCCGCTTGCGCGCGTGTGTGTGTATGCGTGTGTATGTCTGTGTTTGTGTGTGTGTGCGTGTGTGTGTGTGTGAGTGTGTGTGTTTGAGTGTGTGTTTGTGTGTGTGCGAGCGCGTGTATGTGTCTATATGTGTGTGTGTGTGTGTGTGTGTGTGTGTGTGTGTGTGTGTGTGTGTGTGTGTGTGTAAGAGAGAGAGTGTGTGTGAGTGTGTGTGTGTGCATTTGTGTAAGTATGTTTGAGTGAGAGTCTGTGTGTGTTTTTGTCGGTTGGTATATTTGTGTGAGTGTTTGAGTGTGTATGTTTATGTGTGTATGTGAGTGTGAATGTGCATGTTTGTGTGTGAGTATTTGTGTGTGCTTGTGTATGTGTACATGTTATTGTTCAATGTTGTTGTTTTTGTATTTTTTGTTTAGTTTAAGTCTGATCTCCTCATGAAGACATGTTGTTCAGGTACCCACAAAGACAGAGCAAAATCTTCTATCAACACACAAAATGACCCACCTGGACCAAACTCTCGGCAACTTTGTTGCTGTCTCTCGCCAGTATCCTGGAGATAACAGAGACAGAGGACAACATGCAATGACTAGGAAACACAGAGGACATCATACAAAGACTAGGGCACACAGACAGAGGACAACATACAATGACTAGGACACACAGACAGAGGAGAACATGCAATGACTAGGACACACAGACAGAGGACAATATACAATGACTAGGACACACAGACAGAGGACAACAACATACAATGACAAGGACACACAGACAGAGGAAAACACACAATGACTAGGACCCATAGAGGACAACATACAATGACTAGGACACACAGACAGAGGACAACATACAATGACAAGGACACACAGACAGAGGAAAACACACAATGACTAGGACCCATAGAGGACAACATACAATGACTAGGACACACAGACAGAGGACAACATACAATGACTAGGACACACAGAGACAGACAGAGGACATCATACAAAGACTAGGGCACACAGACAGAGGACAACATACAATGACTAGGACCCATAGAGGACATCATACAAAGACTAGGACACACAGAGAGGACAACACATAGCGACAAGACACATCTATTATATAAACTTATATCATTGGCAACTCTTATATCACCTTACATCACTCAAAACACATGTATACAATCTTCCATCGTTGGCAACTAGGGTGTAGCCTTAATTTAATTGAAAACTCTTAAACAGCCTTACATCACTGCACACCTCTTATATAACATCACACCACTGACAACTTCTATATAACATTACATCACTGACCACTCTTGTATAATTTATATCTTACATCATGGACAACTCTGATAAAGCATCACAGCACTGACAACTATTATATAATCTCACATCATTGACAACTCGTATACAACCGTACATCACTGACAACTATTGTATAATCTTACATCACAGGCAAATATTGTATAATCTTACATCAGTGGTAACTATCATATAATCATACATCTGTCTGTCTGTAAATGTGTATATGTGTCTGTGTGTCTGTCTGTATATATGTGTGTATGACCTACCTAACAGACCCAGAACTCACCCTATCGTCTTGGCTGCTACTGCCCGCTGCCGAACATGTATATGTGTCTGTGTGCCTGTCTGTGTGTGTGTGTGTACGGGTGCACGTGTGTGTGTGTGTGTGTTTGTGTGTGTGTGTGTGTGTGTGTGTGTGTATGTATATCTGCATGTATGTTTATCTGTGTGTATGTAAGTGTGTGTTGTTTATGTATGTGTGTGTGTGAGTGTGTCAGTGTGTCTGTGTGTTTGTCGGTCAGTACAGGTGTAAATGTGTCTGTGTGTCTGTCTGTCTGTCAGTCTGTACGTATGTGCGTTTGACCTACATAAAAGACCCAGAACTTACCATATCGTCTTGGCTGCTGCGGCCTGCTGCCCAACGTGTATGTATGTCTGTGTGCCTGTCTGTATGTATGTGAATGTGCGTGCACTTGTGTGTTTGTTTATGTATGTGTGTGTGTGAGTGTGTTTGTGTATTTGTCTGGCTGTACATGTGTAAATGTGTCTGTGTGTCTGTCTGTCTGTACGCATGTGTGTATAACCTACATAAAAGATCCAGAACTTACCCTATCGTCTTGGCTGCGGCAGCCTGCTGCACAAACACTGGCAGTGGGGCAGTCGCACTCAGCTTGCTCCCGTCATTTTCTGACAACAGAACAAAACAAAAGACCGTGAACAATCTGGCTTTTGTACAAATCTTACGGCATCTGCAACACAATTAGGTCATACAAGTGCTGAAGATTAGACGTGCTGCTAGACAGTAATATACAAAGAAAAGGAGGAGTGAAACCTTCTCCATCCATTAAAGAGCACATTTATGGGTAGCTTTTACTGAAAAACAATGGTTTAAAGTTGTTGTTTTTTAAAAGTATTTTCAGAAGGAGTATTCACCAAATTCAAGAAAAATGACGAGTTGTCGCTTGATTGCAGTAGCTCCATATGTCCAAAAACAGACGAGCGCCTGATTCCATCACACTCAGATAAAGGAAAGATATTTTTTAAAAATAACTTCTCAGGAGCAAACAGCGTCAGTCGAGGAGTGCACAAAATGTTTTGTTTTTTCTCAAAACGTTTTGCTATGAAAACACAATGACTTTACCTGTTTTAATGGTGTAGCGGTCAGACACTTCTCTGTCACATGCAGGAGATACGAGTTCAATTCCCGAGAGGGGTGAACATTTCTAACAGTATCTAGGTATTTTTTCTGAGATTTTGTATTCCTCCAAGTCCGGGTTGGCCTTGAAAGGAAGGGTCAAAAGCCTGCCTCTTAGATTATCTAAATTGTGTCGTTAGGGGCGTAAAAATGTCTACATTAGTATTTTTAAAACAAAGACTCATACGTGGCAGGGAATTTTTATCCTAGAAGCAAAAGAAAACCGCTTAAAAGATCACGGTAGTTGTTTTTGCCATCATTAATGTGTGTGTGTGTGTGTGTGTGTGTGTGTGTGTGTGTGTGTGTGTGTGTGTGTGTGTGTGTGTGTGTGTGTGTGTGTGTGTGTGCATGTGCCTGGAAGAGGGTGCATGTTGATGTGTGTGCATATCATTATACATGTGTGGGTGTGCATGTGTGTGCGAGTGTTTGTGCGAACGTGTAAGCGCAATTAGGAGTTTCAATGTGTAAGTGCAATAGTGTGTGTGCGTGTGTGTGTGTGTGTGTCTCTCTCTCTCTCTCTCTCTCTCTCTCTCTCTCTCTCTCTCTCTCTCTCTGTGTGTGTGTGTGTGTGTGTGTGTGTGTGTGTGTATGTGTGTGCGTGTGTGTGCGCGCGCGTGTGGAAAGGGGGGAGGGCGGGGGTGCAGGCAAAAAAGGAGGGGGGGAGTATATGTTTGTGACCAGTTTTTCCAGTCCAAACGGAAGAGATAGGGGGCAGCGACAGATAACTCTATAAACATTGTATATAGGGTTGTCTTTGTTTTCATTACGTCCCTTCCTATCATAGTTGTGAAACATGACTTAAACATTCCTGTTATCTCTTTATTAATACTAATTTTTAAAGTGCTTTAAGGCGCTCGAAACTGGATCAGTTCATATGAGCGCGCGGGAAACATTAAACATTTTCTGTTTGGAAAGAAATTTAGAATTTTTGCTTGGGTGGCGGCCGAAGTTTACTCTTATCGATTTTAGGACCACCAAGGGATCTTTAACGTGCGCAACTTCACATGGGACCTCCAAGATTTTTCGCCCTTTTCCGAGAAGGCTAAGAGTAAGATCTTACCTAACACAAGATCAGGGGTGTGTCTGAAAGGCAGCAGTAAGAAGGGGCTAAGGAGTAACAGTAGAAGGCTGCAGAAGAGTCAGGAGCCCAGGGGATGGGGCAAAG